TATATTATTTTATATTTTTATATCAAATGGCAGGCGTCTTGATGGTTATCATTAGCCCTTTAGTTGACTTCGGGTTTCACATCAAATTGAAAAAAGTCGGGAGGGGGGGGGGAACAGAAGAGTGCTTCAAAGATGTAAGGGACAAACACAAAGGTAGAAAAAAATTGAGGTGAGTACTGTGAAAATAGTCGAATATGGCATAGAGTGAGGTGATGGTAGTTTGAAGTGAGAAGTCAACTGCCAATCAATAGACTTTTTTGCCGTATGAATATACGTTGCCCAGGGTGCACCTCGTGGAGGTAAGTCTATCGCACGCCCCACACCTATATATCAGTTATTCTAAAAAGGAAAAATTTGTTTACACGAATAATTTGGTCAACAGATTAACCAACGTTTCGGTCTTTACATGAAATATTCGATATATTTCCGCTAAGTTCATCGAAGTACTTGTGCTTGTCTTTGTCCACATGGAATATTTTTCCAAAACACTCAATTTTGAAATCTTATGAATGTTTTTCATGCTTCCTATTGGCAGATTAATTTTTTCCCCATCTTAGCATTGCGAATATATAAGTATATATAGATCCCTTGACTTTTATTGCTCCAAGATGGGGTCACTATGCCATTTTTTTAAAGTTGAGAATTGCAAAACCTCTTTGAATCAATTCCACAAGAAGCTACTTAAATCTTCTTCACACTTGTCAGACATTCTGCATGCCATCATCAGCCTCCAACATACTCTTCTTCGTGACCCGAGGTGTGGCTGCCGCTGGGAATGGTCTAATCGGTATCTACGCAAGTAACATCTATCAAGCTAGGGTTCGAAGTCTCTCTAGTGGTCTCTGTGCAGCCGCCTTTCGGCTTGGAATTCTCACTGCTCCCTACGTTGGGCAGGTTCTTTTGCAGGACAGATCTACTATCGTAGCAACTGCAACCTTTGCAGGGGTCGCTATTGTTGGATCGATTAGTTCAATGCTTTTGCCTAAGTTGAGAGCTCCGTATACTGTAAGTTCTACTTAATAGTACTAAGTAGTTTATAACCTTGAATTCGAATCTTCTGTATAATTTGTTCGAAACGCAACTCTATTAACTTTGCCAGATATGAAAGGCATAAACTGGTGTTGTTCATGAGGTTATTCGGGCAAAATATTAATCACGACATAAACCACATGTAAATTGCTTTGTGAATAATAAAATATAAAAAATTAATGAGATATTGTTAAAAGATTGGCCAAAAGTCTGATACCAAGTCCAAGTAGGAAGCTATGGCATACACTGAATGAGGCATGATGGATAAAGATTCATTACTTCCTATTGGTAGCGCACTGAATAGGTTGTGGAGTATTGAATGACCAAAAGGCAGAGATAGCAGATGCTGACACAATTCCCCCCCCCCCCCCCCCCCCCCCCCCCCCACCCACCCCCATCCTTATCCGTTGCAATCTTTTATGAAAGGACAGTTAGGAACAGGATTATATGAAATCGTACTTCTCTTCAAAGTGTGACTAACCTAGAAAGCATATTTTTGTCCCTATGATCTATCTACCTACTGGATATCTCTCGACTACAGTTGATTCAAACCATGTTTGAGATAACTCTCAACGCAGACGATATGTAAAGCAAAAGGTTAGTTATATGTTGCTGGTTTTTGAATACTAAACCAGCTTTGGATGAATGGCAGTTATCTCCTCCACTAACTATCAAACTGTTTGGAAGGGTATGAACTCGCATATTGATAAGGACGATGGATGAAATAGATGTTTCAGGGATTACAAATTCTAAGACAAATAAAACCTCTCTTTCTACGATCTTTGTTTGTTGGTATTTTTCATTAATAGAAGTATATTTTACTATCAAGGCGTCGAGTTCTTCCTCATCCGGTTCCAAACGAAGTCTTCCATCACTTCGAAGTCTCTTCCACTCTCCCAGTGTTTCCAACTTCACTACCAGTCGATTTCCAAGTACAACTTCAAACTCCACCTTTATTACCCCGATTCCCGTCAATCGACCAGTTGATCCTGGTATTTCCATAGTCGAGATGACCTATCAGGAACTTAGAAAGAGAGAAGAAGATGCAAGAAGACCTGGAAATGGGGAATTCGTGATACACGAGGACTTTGTACCACGAAATGCGAAGTTTGAAGTTGACGCGTAGAGATCAGTTCAATGTGAATATTTTTAGAATGTCATATACATTTCCGTATGATTTTAGTACAAAGCTGTTTTTAATGAAATAATTTGTATTTATAAAATATTACAACTCAACTGTATTTTGCTTTAATAGCTGTAAAGAAATAATAAAGATAACTACTTTCGTCTTGATTATCAAATTTTCTGATATTAAAAATGAAATATTTTTGTTTTAATAGAGTCTTGAGAAAGTTTCTTTGTAAAAGACCCAGTTACTTCCTCCTAAAATTTCCGCCAATTTCCGTTTAGATTTATATTTAATGACTACCCAAAAATCATCCAAAATAATTTAAATCCAATTCAAAATTCATGAGTAGTCTTCCATGTGCGGAACAGAGATTATGAGGTGCTAAATTAAATCATATGTGGGTTACTCAGATGACCATCATCAGATATGTAACTTTTCTGAATCAAGTAACTTTGAACTGTGAGAAGACCGCACAATAGGAATAGAAAGTAGTGAGAGGCGAGGGGTCAGAAGTTGGAAAGAACAACGCTTTCACGAGGGGCTTGCTAAATCGGAGAAGAGTGAAACGTAGTAATAAATGCTAAGCATTAACTGAGTAGTGGGGAATGAAAATCAATAATAAGCATAAGAGTGAGCTTGAGGCTCATAGGGAAATGTATTGATTGCATTTGGATAAAGCAACAACTTGGCCACAATAACTTAACGTGAGCTACATGGAAGAGAATCGAGTAAATGCATGAGGGGATTAAATAAAATATTTCTCAAAATCTTCCTACTTATTTTCAATAAGTAATAATTAATTTATTGTACAAATCAGTAGAATTATTTCACATTTCATAACAAACTTCAGACATTGGATGGAGAAAGTAGCTCACTGTCCCAGCTATATTGACTTGTTCTTTACCTACCCCCTACACTCATGCCGCCATCTGTTCACCAATTTCACGGTAACATTTTAGTGTTTACATAGAGTTTTATTAACCCAATCTCTACCTCCCCACCTGAATTTATGCTAGGTATAATTCATCAACTTATTCTTAAATATAATCTCCAAATATAATGGTGTAACTTGATAAAAGGATGAGTTATATTTGTGTAGAAAAACGATGCTTGAGTTAAATGGAAAGCAAATGAGCTGTAATTGTTCGTTGTGAGTTTGAGTGCCAAAGGGAAGGGCGTTGAGAGCATCAGTGGAGAAATTAAGGTACCAAAGAGTCTCACTCAATCTCCTTTATATGGGGTTGAGTATTGGAATATTTAATCGATAAACATTTAGAGCCTCAATATACATACATTTATTTATTTATTTATTTCAAATGGTGGGCTTTATGACACTTATCATTAGCCCTTTAGCTGACTTCGGGCTTCACAGAGGGAAGGTTCATCAAAGTAGCAGAAAGTCGAGGGGTGGGGAAGAGAAGAGCGATTCACAGATGTAAAAGAGGCAGACAGACACAAAGGTAGAGAAAAAGGTAAGGTGAGTAGAGTAGAAGGGGTCGAATATGACAACCAAGGGGGTCGTGGTAGTTTGAAGTCAGAAGTCAACTGCCGGTTAATAGACTTTTTTGCCGCATGAGTATACGTTGCCCAGGGTGCACCACGTGAAGGTAAGTCTATCGCACACCCCATATACATACATAACTTTAATGATTTGGCACTCATTCATATTATTGAGTGAANGCCAACGTATACTCATACGGCAAAAAAGTATATTAACCGTCAGTTGACTTCTCACTTCAAACTACTATCACCCTACTGTAAGTCATATTCGAACCCTTGCGCAGTACTCATCTTACCTTTTCTCTGCTCTTGTGTCTGTCTGTCTGTCTGTCTCTCTGTCTGTCTCTTTTACGTCTGTGTTTCATTATTCTGTCCCCCCTCTCGACTCTTTGTCACTTTGATGATCCTCCTCCTCTCTATGAAGCCCGAAGTCAGCTGAAGGGCTAATGATAACTATCAAACCATCCGCCACTTGGAATAAATAAATATACATTTTATTCAACTGGGGCCCTGCGAATATATTGTGAATAGATGGGTGGTGTGGGGATGGTTTAGTTTTTTGTCTATTTATCTGATTTCACAATGGGTTCATAATCTGATCAAATACTACATAACTCACACAAACAAAAAAGTAAAGCTAAGGAAACCTTTTTCTTGATTTGTCCAAATGCGGGGCAAACGTAATAATCACTGATAATGACGAAATAACTATTATGACTACTAGTTGAAATTAAACAGATAAAACAAAACAGGATTGGACAAGGCTTCAAGTACAGGAGATTAGAATGCAGTGAGTATTTTGTGCTCAAAAGTGTTTAACTTCGTCCAGTGATTTTGTTTGTTCGTCTATAGACACGACTTGAGTGATCACTGTTTACTTAATTTTTTGGTTGTCTTATTTCTGCCCAACACCACATTTGTTTCCCCAATCACTAGAAAAGACTGAATTAAAAAGACTGAACCGGTCAAAAACTACTTGACATCATTGGCAAATATTGATGTTGTAAATCTTCAACCAAAATTCATTGGGCATTGTTTCAATGGTGCCTAAGGATGCCCATTTTTGAATTCTCTCGCCTAATTAATGTGGCGGATTTTCTGCTACCCCCTAACAGTTGGTTCCATTGATCAAAATTGTAATTTTTCTAATAGTATAGGCAATATGAATAATTTTAGTTATTTTCTGATTTAATACAGTTTAGTTAGCTCTACCAATTTAAAAGATTCCGTAAGTTTCATTTTTGCCTTCTACTCAACCTGGTCAGAGTAGTGCTCTTCCATGTCAAAATCGATTTCGCAAAATGGATATTCGATCTATCGTGTGGAAACGAAAGTAAAATGATCTGTTTGACACTTGCTTATCCTTCCAGTGAGAAAGATTTCACAGCAAATTACCACGTGTGTCATCATTCACTCAAAGTGACAATTTTCGGTATCGACCAGTACCGACATTCTTTATTTAAGTGACTTCCATTTAAACACTATGCATTCCGAAAAGTATTACGTAGTTTTCCTTTAATATTTGTTTATTTCAAATGGCAGGTGTTTCGATAGTTATCATTAGCCCTTTAGTTGAATTCGGGTTTCACAGAGAGGAGAAGGAACATCAAATTGAAAAAGGTCGAGAGGGGGACAGAATGATGAATTACAGATGTTAAAGAGACAGACAGACAGACACAAGAGCAGAGAAAAGGTGAGGTGAGTACTGAGGAAGTAGTCGAACATGACATACAGTGGGGTGATGGTAGTTTGAAGTCAGAAGTCAACTGCCGGTTAATAGACTTTTTTGCCGCATGAGTATACGTTGCCCAGGGTGCACCACGTGAAGGTAAGTCTATCGCACACCCCATATACATACATAACTTTAATGATTTGGCACTCATTCATATTATTGAGTGAAGTCTTAACTACGTTTGTCTGTGCTAATTGATAGGCAATTTAATTATGAAGACAAGTCTTGTGGTGCCAGTTCTTCCTGTTCTCCCGAGAATACGCAAATCCACTCATATCACATGACATTGAAGCGCCTTGCATGGCTTAAGCTTAAAATTGATGAAATGGCAACAAACGAAGCCTCAAAATTGAAGTTTGACTCAAAACTTGGACAATTGCCAAACTTTCACGATCGTTTTCAAATGTTAGTATTCCACTTAGAAGCGATATTTGCTGTAGTAAAATTGTGTCAGTGGTATCGCCATTTGCCAAAAGAATATATCTGAAGCTCTCGACCAAACAAATAATAAAAAAACACTAAAGCCCATCCGTTTAGAAAGCCAACCAGCGCACCATCTCCCTCCATTTAACAGCCTTCCAAGCTCAAAAATAATAATTATTATTATTATTATTACAGGCTGTAAACAAATGAAACGGTCAATTTTCTCACTTTTGCATCATTTGTTAATAATAAAAATTGTAAATTTGTCGCCATCTCTGGAAGCAAGTATAATCGTGCATCCTGCTTTCCACTTCGAATATATGCATACCAGCTTTAATTTAAGATCATGTTCTAATAACATGTTCACATATACCAAAGCCAGACAAAAGTTTTATGAGAGGGGGGGGGGACTATTTGAAATTGGAAAAAAAAATTGGCCGAAGAATTTTGTTATTCTCTAATATCTGCTACTTAAATAAGCACTAAATTTTAATAAACCAATTAATGTTTAATTTAAAATAGGAAGTATTGGGCAAATTTTGTGGGGAAAAATATTGATAGATTTAATTATAAAATTTTAGGATAATTTATTTAAAGTAAAAAAATTAAGGCCTGATAATTTTCTGCACAATTTGAATTAATTATATTTGAGGAAAGGGGTGTGTGCGATAGACTTACCTCCACGTGGTGCACCCTGGGCAACGTATACTCATACGGCAAAAAAGTCTATTAACCGGCAGTTGACCCCACTGTATGTCATATTTGACTACCTTCACAGTACTCATCCCACCTTTTTTCCACCTTATCAACCTTCGTCTTTGATACACTCTTCTGTCCTCTCCCCTCTTGAATTTTTTAAACTTTGATGTTCCTTCCCCTCTGTGAAGACTGAAATCGACAAATCAAAGCGCCTGCCATTTGATATAATAATAAAAATGATTAAAACGCCTGCCATTTGATATAATAATAATACTTTGAAATGGACGCATAATATTATTATTATCATAAAGACTGCCATTTGATATAGACAGTTTTGAGGAAAGTTTATGAAACGCTTTTATTTAATTTGAACAGAAAAAATGGAAGACTTTAATGCCCACTAAGCACAAATATGATGAGCCTTCCTCTGACTTCCACAACTATATAAAGGAGAGATAAGTCGCCCAGTTCGGATTTTCGCACTTCCTGCTTGGAAGAATTGAATCAACGCAATGGAGCTTAAAGTGACAGAGATGTATTGAGGGAAATAAGTTTGAAGGTACGCAACTTCTCCAAGAGGTATAACGACACGACATTGGTTGCATGAGAGAGATGGAGGGTGGGTGGTGGGAGTTAAAGACGA